CATCAAACCAGTTTCTATAATTATTCTTAATTGTACAAGATGTTTTTGTGTGGTTTTAATTACAAAACAAAATAATATCGATAAAATTTCAACACCCTGTTTGTCAGTAATAAATAAATTGTTTATAATCACCATTTTTCAAGTAACAAATTTTAATTTAGATGAATTTAATTGTGCAATAAATAGTTATAAGCGATGTAAAATATGTTTTGTTACAAAACATTTGTTCAGATAAATAATGCTGAATATACAGGGTGTTATTTAAGTACGCGGCCAGACTTCATGGGGTGACTCTTTGAAGTTTATATAAACATAGGTCGGTCTGGTAATATTTCGTTTTCAAGATACAGGGGTGTTTGGGCAAGTACTTAAATAACACCCTGTATATCCAGATATAAAAGTATTAAAATAATAAATTATCAGTTTAATATTACCGCAGCCATCTACAATTATCGATATCTTGAACTCCCACCTTACTCTGATTTGAAGTAGTAATTCCAAAGTAGTCGTAATAATAAAAATTAAGAGAATACTGATAAGTTTTTGAATAGTATAAAGTGGGTAGGTATCTGGAAAATACAATGCAATGCAAAATAAGTCAATTTAGACCAACTTACTATTTACTTACTACAACTTAATATTTTTCATGCATCAAACTTTACAACGATTTGAGATGGATTACAACAGAAGCTGGTATTATTTAACAAATGTATTGTACCCTACTGACATTTTGCTGGGTAAATATAAATTCCTGCTTAAATCCAACCGACTAATATCCCAGTGGCGTACAAATGTCGGTCCATCAAAAATTGGTATACAGTGTCATATTTTTTAATTTTTCTTTGGTGTATACATTGTTGTACACAAACCTATTTTTTTTTTGTATAAGCTTCGAGCCACTCTGCCTACATTAACTTATTTTGAGCTAACAAATGTCTAGTCTTATGTTGTTCCAGATAAAGAGTATATTTTGTACAGGAATATTCATATAAAGTCAACTCGTTTTTTACCTTCTTTGTATTTCTGCCTAGAAAAAAGAATAAAGACCAAAATTTCTAGACAAATGATATCTTATTTAAAATAAATAGTTGTTTGCAATGGGGATTCTGAAAAATAAAGCAAACAATGAACGATCTAATAAAGACCTAAGGGGAAAAACATTGTAGGAAGTTAATGCTACTGAGATGGGTAACAGGTGTTTATACAAAAACTTGTTTGCTTTTTTGTCTAGAACAATGGGGGAGGTATTACAAAACACCTTTTATAATACGTCATTTTCTCTTAACAGAGAATTTAAAGATTTGTTTAATAAATTAACAGCGGAAAACGTACCCACGCAATGGTTTCAGGGCAATCTTTGTAAAACATTTAATAAATAACATTCTACTAAAACAATATTTGTTTTGTATAAGTTTCTTATACATAATTTCGAGCTGCTTGTTGAGAAACATTTATATTTGCATTAAAAAAAAAAGTGGAATCTGTATGTCTTTTAGGTTAGATTTAATATAAAACAGATGGTTAAGGGTTGTGAAAACTATTACGATTTTACTAAGTCTATTACTATACAGGGTGTCTCATAATTAGCTGCCAACCCTGAACAGGCCGATTCTATGATCAAAACTAAGTCAAAAAGTTCATATGAACATGGGTCCAAAAATGCTTCCTAAGGGCACAGGGACCCATTGAAGAGGGAGGAATGGAAATAATTTTTTTGCAATATCTCTCAATAGCGTTGTGACAAATGAATGAAATTTGGTATACACAGCTAAATTTTGATGAGCAATTTGATGGACTAATCCATTTATTTCCACAAGGTCCATTGGGGTGGGTACGGGGGGCCCTTGGTACTTTGCGTGTGTAACTTTTTCATCTTTGACTTTTTAACAAATTGGACAGCAAATTCCGTTTTCCCGAACTGTTTTACGTTAAAAAGGTACTCTTGTTTCAAATCGTTATCTTTAACGGTTTCTGAGAAAATCGCTCTTGAATTAATCCCACTTTGGTCAATTTCATAGTAATTTAAACGAAAAATAATAATAATAATTTTCCTTTCCTCTCTTTTCCATTTAAAGGATTAATTTTTATTTAATTTAATTTTTGATTATTATTTTTTTATTAAAATTAGATTAAATTTAAACAAAAAAATTTTTACAGTACAGAAGTGTATTTTTAAATCATTTTCGAACTCTTTTTGATTTTTTTTTACAAATTTATATCTGTAAAAGTCTTGTGCATTCAAATATTTTTTTTTTTTGGATAAGTTCTGAATCACCCTGTATAGTTACATTCAATCCACTACGAAGAATTCTTACTATTAAGTAATAGATGGCGTGAAAATATCATAAAACCTCTAAACTTAGAGGTCTATATATTGTCATAATGAAAAAAGTAATTAAATTCCAATTTAAATTATTTGTAATTGAAATAATTTAAATTATGGTTCAAAATTTCATTATTATACAGAAGAAAATTACCTGTACAAATTCCAATCGATTTATTAGTAATTAACCATCAGAATTAACACATAGCAACAGACTTTGAACTTAAGCAATTGCAAGATTCCAAAATTGATTGCATTGAATCTGGATAACCGGGTGGATTAACTGGAAGTAGAGAAAAATGAGCAGTATCAAAGAACACTTCTCTTGTAGGTCTTAGAATGTTAAAAGTGTAAGTCTCAAATTAATTACTGAACTTGGAACTACTGAATTTTAAATTATATAGAAAATATTTAGCTCTATGTCCAAAAAGCATCCTACATCGCTGTCACTGTTACCACATTACTGATAGATTGAGGTTTGAAACGTCACGGGAGATGAAAATCTTCTACGTGTCAAAAGGTTATATCAAAAATTCTATTTAGAATAAAATAACAGAGTTCCTATATTCGTAATTGACACCTTAAAAACATGGGTGTGCAAATTTCCAAGATACGCCGCGCGCCGTATATAGTCCAATAAACCTTTAAATCGAAATTTTGGTCAACTTAGGTACCTGATTTTTTATATGAGTTAGTTTGAGGAATGTTATAACAATAAGAGATAGTAATTTTTTTTCAACCCCCCGGCCAAAAAGATAAAACAAAGGGGTTTTTCAAGGTAACTCAAAACGGGTAAGGGCTAGAAAAAAAAGTCGTATAAAAGTTGTAAAGCATACAATTCTACATAAAAATGGCCTCTTGACTTTTTCTTGTATTATTAAAATTAACAGAGTTAGGGAGGCTAGAAGTTAAGGGAAGATTTCAGAAATTAAAAAAAAAATCATAAGCAGAAAAATGAATGAATTTTGTAATTTTTTTTTCGATCTACTCTAAAAAATTTAACCTTTCTTTTCAGAGAAATAGATATATTTTTTAATTTTTAATAAGAAAGTTATAACAATTTCCAATTTGTTGTTCAAAAAACTGTTTTGGGAGGCGAATTTTGAGGGTGCATTTCACCCCGTAAATATGTTTTTCCGCCGATAAAAAAAATACTTGTCTCTTTACATTTTTTAGAGTAGATTGAAAAAAAAATTACAAAATTCATTCGTTTTTCTGTTTGTTATGATTTTTTTAAATTTCTGAAATCTTCCCTTAACTTCTAGCCTTCCTAACTCTGTTAATTTTAATAGTACAAGAAAAAGTCAAGACGCCATTTTTATGTAGAATTGTATGCTTTACAACTTTTATAAGAAATATATATACATATTTTTCTAGCCCTTACCCCTTTTGAGTTATCTTGAAAAACTCCTTTGTTTTATCTTTTTTCACCCTTGGCCGGGGGTTGAACAAAATATTACTGTTACTTATTGTTATAATATACCTCAAACTAACTCATATCAAAAATTCAGGCAAGTTGACCAAAATTTCGATTTAAAGGCTTATTTAATTGGACTAATAAAGGCACTCAAAATATTAAAAAATATATTTTTTTGACTTTAGCATCCTGTAGAATAAAAATCAACAATGTTCGAATAAGACATATTCAGATTAATTGTTAAACTTTGACATGGGCAATCTTTCGTTGAAATGTTTAACATTATTAATTAATCACCCTGTATACAGAATGACTCATAATTAAATTTACACTTTAGTTCTAAAATGACTCCTTTAAAAGGTGTTGAAATTCATAAAAAAAAATAGTATGTGTTTCTCAATATTTCCAAAACAACTTAACAGTTTGTTTTTAAATTTGGTGTAGTAAATGTTGCTCTCAAGCAGAATACTAAAAGTTAAAGATGTGTAATCACCACATCAGTCAGTGTCGCAACAGTTTTTTAAGGTTCAGTATAGTAGTATTCTATTGGTTCCTTGCAAGAGAGTAACAATCGACAGTTTCATTTACAACAGCAAATTTTAAAACAATCTGTTAAGCCGTTTCTGAATATTGAGAAAGTACTAGTTTGTATTTTATGAATTTCAACACTTTACACCTCTTTAAAGAGGCATTTTGGAACAAATGTTTTTTTGACCAATTATTATTTTGGTTCAGTGAGAAGTTTAGGTTAATTTTTTACCAACTAATTATGAAACACCCTATATAATTGTAATCAGAAAGAAGAGATCAATCCAAAAAGGCAAATATACAAAATAAAAATTTGATTTATACCTTTGAAATACTACAATGAACTGTTTTTTCATATTTCTTTGAGATCGCAAGAAAAATACCCAAAACTTTCGGCGTTACCATTTTTCCTAGACAGTTTAGCAAATTTAATAAAGCAGAATGTTATATGAATACTTCTGTACAAAAAAATAGCAGCTTCCATGCACCTTTGAATCAATCCAACCGTTTCTGAACTGCTGTCTGTACCACCTGTCCTAAAGGAGAACACTAACTCTGTTAGTTGTTACCGACCTACCTTTCCATAAGCGGTAGTCACAAGTCGACTCTAATTTCCGCATCCCCGCTTCCGGCGGCGGGTACCTACCGTATCCCGCTCCAATCTATAATTGTAGATGGCGCCACTTAAAGTTAGAATCACAATTTACATATCAGGTTATTACAACACATCTCCTAGCAATCGTGATCGTCGTAAGAGTCCTCCCGTTCCCTGATGAAGTTCGACGACGGCGTCCTGATGACGTACGAGCTCTCTGTGGACGCCGGCGTCAGCAGGGGCGTCCCCTGCAGGCTGATGGCCAGGGGCAGCGCCGAAGGGGTGCAGAGGCTCGTCGCCCCCCTGCTCTCATTGACCGACCTGTATCGCACCGGCCGAGACAACCTGGAAAAATACGGAGTTACAGAAATAGTTATTTTTTATAGAAAGTTGTGGAATACCACTTTTGTATAAAAAGAACATTTGAAAATGCAAAAGCGATTTCGCAACTGTGGATCAAGCAATATTTTTTCGGAAACTGGTTCGAGATAATGTTAAAATTGGTGAAAAGGGGGTAAATTACTGTTATTTCAGTTAAATAAAGTGTCTTTTTGCCACTTAGGAAACATAATTAAAATGTGAATATATTACGACAGTTTTCGAAAAATAGTTATAAAAGCAAAATATCAGATATGTTAATATAAAGAGTATTAAACAATATTTATTGGGTATTATGAAATTTAAAAAAGTAATGAAATGAACTCTTACGCCGAAAGAATCTGACAAGGATTATTTTTTATGGAAATACTTTTGCCTAACCAAAAATCGCACACTGACAAGAGCAATCATACAAAATACACATCACTGCACGAATAACTAATAATACTTGTTGTAGCTGTTATTTAAAATCATCGAAAATTCAAAAGTTGGCTATGAATTTAAACGTCAATCTCGACGATCAGGAAAAAAGTAATTTAATTTTAGTAATTGTTTGCTAAGTGTTTTGAAAATGGTCAGAAGTTTTCATTTCGCGAACAAATTGACATGCTATTAGTGTTAGGTTTCTATGAAATAAACTGCAGAAGTGTTAAACAATGTCTAAGAACTAAGAAGATTTCCAAATCGTGTAATCCCCCATAGAGAAACATTTTCTAGTGTTGAGAGACGGGCTAGAGAAACAGGCAAGTTTTTTAGTAGCATTTGAGAACGTGCTATTGTAATCAGGGGACAAGACGAAGAACTTATTTTGAATACAATTGAAGATGACCCACATATTAGTACTAGAATTCTATTTCGACAAATTGGTATATCGCAAACTTGTGTGCATCGAGTGATCAGAAATTAAATGTGTGGGCTGGAATGGTTGACAACAGAATAGTAGGGCCTTTCTTCTTTGAAGGAACCCTTACAGGAAAAATATATTTAGAGTTTTTACAAAATGACCTTGTTCCAGCGCTTGCAGTAAGTTTTCCTAACGATAATAACCCTGATATTCCTGATGACACCATATGGTTTCAGCAAGACGGTGCACCTCCGCACTATGCGCACCCTGTTCGAGATTTTCTGGACAATTGTTTTCCTAGGAGGTGGACGAGGACCGATAGAATGGTCCGCGAGATCCCCAGATCTTAGAGCCCTAGACTATTTCTTATGGGGCTACTTAAAGTCCAAAGTGTAACAAAGTTAATAGACCACAAAATTTAGAAGAACTCCAAAATTGCGTTATAGATGAAATACACGCAGTTACCCCAGAAATAATTCATAACGTGCAAGAAGAATTTCTACACAGACTTGCGTGTCAAAAAGTCGGTGGGTGGCAATTCAAACACTTAACCGTTAACCACTTAAGGTAGAAAACTTAATGAATTGTATTTGCTAGACAATTGCACGTTTGATTTTAAATAATCATAATCAATGCGATCTCCAAATTTATTTATTAAGCTTGGTCCGACGGAGCTAAAATAGGAGTTAAAGTTATTAGCGGTTAAAGTGTAATCAAAGTTTGTATTGTGTTCCTTTATAATAATATCCCGGACATCCCTAGACTTACCAGTTTTTTGACTAATAATGTCCCACATCTTTTTTGTTTTATTAGGAGCAGTGTTTATATTGCTATCAAAGTGCTGTTTTTTAGTTCTAATTAATAAATTCTGATAAAACATATCAATGTAAGTAATATCAGGTGTTATCCACTCATCCTTCCCGACACGATCCCTATTTTTATCAAGTTTTACCTTTTTTACAGGAAAACATACATTAAAATAAAATAAAAATGTGCTTATAAAATTTTCAAAAGATTTATCAGCACAGTTTTCTGAAAAAACATTGTGCCAAGACTCCATCGATTCAATCGTCATTTACTCGAAAACTTTCCTATGTAAGATGGCAACATTTTAATACTGTCGGATCGACAATGAAACGATTTTTCAGAATCAAGGAAAAAAAATAGGGGGTTGCTATTTAAAAAAAATGTTGATGACGTCATTACTCGAAAACAAATGACGGTTGAAAATCGCTTTTTATGCTAAAATATGTATTTTTTAAATTAAAAATCGACCCGTTCGATGATTTTTCCCAAAAAGAATTTGTTTCGTTTTTACAGAATTTATTCCATACTTTAGGCGAGTACTGTATAATATTCGTTTTTAAAAATCGTGTTTTCAATAAGACAGAAACGAACATTTTCTAATGATTTTTGACTGGTATGTCAAAATTTTGGAATAATTGATGAAAAAGGAATTTATTATAAATATCTCTACTCAAATATAAAGAGAAATGGAATAAGTAGTAAGTATTTCGTATAAAATTACCATAAAATAAATGCAACTTATAAAAATTGCTGATATCGCCGCTTTCGGTGAAATTCAATTAGCACAGCGCGTATTAACCTTGCCCCAAGACTCAGTTAATCTGTTTTACCGTCCCCGTTCCCCAGAATGATCACTTCCACGGACCTTGGCCCAACTAAACCGCGTAATTACGTGAGAAAAAACCTTTTAAAAGTTTTGCCTCGTTCGTCAGTGGGAGTTTTTTTTTTTAATAAAACTTGAAAACGATTCCACGTGTTTATGATAAATTGTCCTTACCTTTTCACCACGCGTCTGCAGCCGGGCTTATGAGTAATTATTTTTTACCGCCACCAGCTTAATCAATTGTGTGCGGTCGGTTGGGAACCCATTAACTCTTTTGTATCTATTTTTAAGATATCTCAAATTAGCGGATTTTCATGAATGAAAAGGGTGGTGGTGGGTTATGTATTAGATAATTTTTATTAAATATGCACCAAGCTATGCGGACAACTGGACATTTTTTAACTAAATGAGAATTTTTCGAATTGCCAAGGGAGTGGCTATATCCACTTAATTTTGAAAAAAAAAATGTAATTTACCTATAAAAAGCATATTTAGCAATATAAGGTAGATAACTTTGACAGAAACAACTGCTTTCCTTGAAAACGATGCAATTCTAGCGATTTCAAGAGTACCTTTTTTGTGTAAGATTTAGTTTTATACAGGGTGTTTCTGAAATAAGTTCCTTGAAGGCACGAAAATTAGCAACTTTCATTAAACAACTGATAGTCTAAGTGCTTCTGTTGTCGAGAAAATTGATTAAGAAAATTAACCTATATATAAGCCAACCCTGTGCATCTTGTGCACGTGCGTTGTGTGTTGCAGTAGTACTTAGCCAGCGTATAAAACTAACAATAGTGTGGCGTGTACTACGGGAACAATTATTACACCCTTCTCATGTTTAGGCATTAAATAACAATTATTCTCAGCCCCGTCTGGAATGTTGCCAGTGGTTTCGACATCAAATAACACAATATCCGGATTAAAAAAAAAATCAATAACAAACACCTTTTTTTATCTATTCAGATGTAATAATGCAACCATACACTACAGAAAACCTAACATCAAAAAGATTATTTTGTTAAATATCTTTGGGAAGCAGGGATGCAATACATTGTTTTTTGAAAAAGGCATGTCCTAAATTAGTCCAGTCGACAGAGGCCGAAAAGTTACTGTTGGTGACATTTCCTTGATAACTCGGAAATAACTACACAGGAATACTTTAAATTATGAGTACAATAACAGGGTAATTTGATGACAAAGTATTTTATCAGGAAAAAAGTTATTAACAATTTAATCGTGACAAAAAATTTTTTTAGTGGTTTTCTTTAAATAACTCAGCGGGATGACTTTGTACGAAAAAATGCTTAGGACATGATTTTCTTCGTAATAAAAATAGCTACAAAATGGCGGTGGTCCGATTACGAAATTTGCAATAGCAAAGCCGTGAGATTAAAAAAAAAAAACGGTATAAAACGTCAATTTTTTAAAGTTGCTGTAAAAATCTCAATTATAAACAAAAAGTGATAAAACTATAGTTCTATATATATACAATAATGGTGCTAAAGCCGAAAATCAGGAGAGCAAAACTTTTTGGTCTATAAGTTGTTATACATTCATCGGCATCTGAAACTCGAAACTTTGCCAAATTTGTTGGAAGTTTTGCTGACACTTGAAATTTGATATACACATAGTGTAAATATGCAGAAACCAAAAGTAATTTGCAAAATTCAATTATCTTCATTTTTGCAGCTTTGGTAAGGTTTTATACGTCACCTCTACCAACTGGACTAAATTTGTTTTTAGAAAATCACCTCCAGAAAAAGGCAATGGTGCACAGAAAAAAATTGATATTACACATGATTTTGATTTTATGACATCGTTAAATTATTATACAAGTGTTAAAACAACGAACAAAATAAAATCACTTTTAACAAATATATCATACAATATTTTTTGCAAAACTGTTATTAAAGAAAATGCCGTCTGTGGACTTGAACTCCAGATCTATCGCCTCCGTGTCGGGCGCGGTGGTACTGAGCCATCAAGTCCAGCCAATCGGATACTGGATAAACGGTAGTAAAGTAAAACAGTTGTACGTTGTTTAGTGTTTCTTAGTAACTATAATTGAAGCTGTCCTTAAATATTGTAAATTCTGTGGCTAAAAAAATGGATTTAGAAGAAAATACGGGAATCGAAAGTAATTTTATTATTCAATTGTACGTTGAAGAAGCCGTAAATAGGGTAACTTTAGATCTGTTGCCCTAGAAATGGCGGAAACAGTATGATATAACATATAAACGACTTATTGAATAGTGTAAAATGAAGAAATTTAACATTAAATTACATATTATATTTTAAAAAATAATACTATTATGCATATTACATCCAAAAACTCGATTCTCATTAAAATAAACTTTATACACAAAAATATGTCATTTCCTGAATCTTTTTACATAAAAATATTGTTTTTTAAGAAAATTGTTTATTGGTATCATTATGAATAATTATTTCTCGAAAAAATGCGAAAAAAAATTATTTTTTTTACAAAATTGA